AATACCAGCACTTAAGATATACACTACTAAGAGTTTTTAAAGCAGAAGTTAAAGGATGGGTTTGGTTTTATCTTTTTTTTTTTCTTCAAATCTCCAGCACCCTCCCTATTACCATCTCTCTAAGCAAAACAAATATAGCATATACCTTAGTTTTCAGAGTCATCATTTTAACTGTTGCATTTTCAGACGGAGTGAACATTTACTATAGTTACACTGTGTTCTAAGTATTTACTATACCAGGGGCTTTCATATGAATAAGAGAACTGCCAACAATGCCAGGAGATAATTTATCTCATTTTCATCTTTACAACAGCCTTGAGACTTGCCGAATAGTGAAGGAAAGCCAGGTAGCAGGTAGAAAACTAATTTATGGAAATAGGAGTAACAGAAACAAAAACAAAAGCAAATATCACTTATGTTAATTATATGATAACTCATTGTATTTCAAAACAAACCCCACAAAATCTCAGGTTTTTAATAATTACAGATATCTGCTGCCTGGAATTTTTAGCTGTTAGTTCTCCTTGGGTGCATCTTTGTTTCTAATGCAACATAAAATGAAAAAGGCTTTTGGGAGAAGGGAACACTGTAAGGAAGAAGTTATTGTAAGAATGGCACATGGGACACAAAGTCACTGATTCCATCTCTGCTTTCCATACCAGTTTGTAAGGCAGAGTTCCATTCAGATCCTTCGGCAGCCTCCTGGTAGTCCCCAGCCCTAAAGGTAACCACCACAACTTAAAATTAAAGACCAGAAAGAGACCTGAAATTAGCAATGGTCCCACTGAGCAACTATGTTTTCAAATGGCATAAAAGATAAACAGCAGAAAGTTTTAATCTGGCTGATACTAAAACTGCCTTCCAAAGTCATTCTATGCCTCTGAACTGAAAGAAAAGCCACTATCTATCCCTGATGCATCAAATTGCTGTCAGTTCCAAAATGGCACTTAAAAAGCTTTTAGTCTGAAATCCTCAAATCTTTTTGACCATTTTCATTTCAAGTGATTTCTTTTGGTTTAACAGAGGGAAAAATGTCAAAAACAAAAATAAACAAAAGCCCCAGAAAACCAACTTATATTTCACTACTTGGAAATATAAGTGACCATTCTGCAACTGAACGTAGGGTTATCCCTAATATTTTTGGGATCCAGGATAAGAGCACAAATGGAAGCCATCCCTAGTGTTCTGAGCCTGCCCTCCTCTATCATGGTTCCTTCTTGCACCACAAAAGACTTTTTGTGCAGACAAGTAGACATCCCAGCTCATTAGTTCAAGCTTGATCAACAAGTTCCATCCCTTGACTTTACTCCTTATCCCCATGGAAATAGCAGCCTCTTCCCTTCAAAACTCCAAGAAGAAGTGGGTGCTGGGGGTGAAGCTTGATATATTACTAGGATACACAAGGTCCTGGGTTGGATCCTCAGCACCTCAAAAAAATCAAAACAAAAAAAAAATCTTCAAAAAATGGGCGTAGCAACATGGGATGAAGAAAAACTCTGGGGTCCTACTTATCTTCAATGTGCTCTAGAAGTGAGAGAGAACAAGATCTAAGCAGATCCAGCCTCTTGGCCCCCAGACTCCTCTAAAGCCTGTGGTTTAGGGAATGTCCATCCATGTCAAACAGAGGTAGTGATTCAGTGAAACTTTTAGATCCTCCCTTGAATTTGGTGAATTTTTAAGTTCCATATCTTTTTATATCAAATTTTATACTTTGAGAACAGGAAAGAGGCTTAGGAAAATGTGGTCTTCATTTGCATAAACCAAAAATGAGAGTAAAAGATCCCTGACATCAATTTTTTTATACTCCCTAAACTCTGACAGAGAGTAAGTGTATGAGGAGAGGGATCAAAGCAGCTATAGGCTCAAGCTTCCAAAATGGAACCAAGAAAAGCATGGTAAACTCTGTTGGATAATTCCACCACAATGGCTATAGTGTAGACTCTGGAATAAGAAAGGTACGGGTTTAAAGCCTAATGTTGCCACATACTAATTTAAGTTCAAAATTTAGTAGCATTTAAATAAACTTTTCTCATCTTGTTTCCTCACTTGATAATGGCAAGGAAGAAAAAACACATTCTACCAGCTAGGACTGTGATGATTAGTAAATAAGAAAATGTGTGTAAAACACTCAGCATGGCGGCTGGGATACCATAAATGAGATTTACTCTTATAACCAGGTATTTTAATGCAATGTCAGAGCTGCAGTTGTGGCCTAATTGTTGTTCGGCAAATAATTTAAAGAGCTATAATATATTGTTTGGCATCAGTTTATTTCCATGCTCCCTATTTAAAATAAAATTTATTCTTGAGATAATTACATAATGACTTTGGGTACTATTCTAAGAATTAGTTAAAAATGAACAGAAATATAATAAGTATCTTTACCAGGTTTCTAAAATAAAAGCAAAACCAAATTACCTAGTTATAAGATGTAAATCTTGCTAACCAGGAAAATTTCATAATTTTCCTGTTTACCATGTACATTTTTTATACAATTAACATTTATCACAATGAGTTAACATGTTCCACAAAATACATCTTATAACAATAATGACTTCCCTTAATTGGATGTCCTTTTGTTCCAAACATTATACCACTTACTTTATGTATCATCTACTTGGTTTAGTTCTCTTGACTTCCCCCCCAACCCCCAGTTTTATAGATAAGGGAAATGAGGTGCAGACAGTAACACTTGGTGGGAGACACAAAGACCTTGTCCTTTCCATTTGCTCCTTGCTGGAGCCAGGTCTTAGAAGAGCTTCTTTAAAAAGCACCCCTTTGCCTCCCTTCCTCTCTTCTCAAAGGAAATTAGATGTGTCATAAAGGCAAAATTAACATTTACCTCTTTGCATTTTAACCCTTTTTTGAGACCTATGGTTTTGTCTATGGTGCCCTCTCAGAGGTTCTTGTCATAGTTTGTATTGGTCTTTCTGTAAATTTAATTGGAAATAGCTCATGCTATATTTTCTTTTGTTGCTATAAATAGAGCTCATCCTTAGTGGGTGGAGAAGATGCAAAAACCACCACCAGATGAGAAGAAGCTCAGTCTATTGAGATTATGCATTGGGTTATTTCTCCATAAACCCACACTGAATCATAATCCGTATACTACTGCAAGTGAGCTCTGGGCTGTACCATGTGAATTTTTAAAAGATGGTACAATAAAATTCAAAGTATAGTATATCTCAAAGGTACTTTATGGCTATCTTGCTTTTGGCATTAAGGTAGACTAACAATTTTAGGAACATTCAGCTATGTGTCCTGAGCTTCACAAAATGTCACAGACTGGCCGGACCATCAAACGCAGATGTTCATTTATATCTACAGTGATTTGCCTAATTTCTTACCTTAATCATTACTGCTGTAGCCCAAAGGCTTTGAACTACACATAAGACATTTTACAGACCCCTCATGGGTTACCCGGTTGTAGATTAGAAACCAAGTCTCAGGTTACACATCCTAAGTGCCAACCACAATACATCACTGCTCTGCACTTGAAGCAGAACTTATTCAAAGAAATGGAAAATATGGAAAAGCTATTTGTGGAAGAAAAAAAGTATGGGTGAGAAATGTGTTCCTGAAAAATAAATATATTTTCCACATTCCGAATTTGCCAAGTTTTGAGGGCAGTCAGAAAGTATACTAGAAAGGGAGGAATAACTTTATTGGAAGTGCGATATACTGATGACCAAAAAATTTATCAGAAAAAAAGCAAAGAGCAAGCAAAGAGGCTAAGTTCCGGTGGAAAAAATTGCACGCATTTTGTTTCAAAAAGATGCTAAAATGAATTGCTTTCCTTGAATAAAAAGAGGATGTTTCTGTCAGATCTATGGATTCTACATACAAAAAGAAAGTGCACTAGTTACAAAGTAAACACTTTGGACAGACAATTATGTGTTTAGACAACAGTAGTTCTTTGCCAGTGAAATAAAGCAAATGTCAATAAGCCAGACACACTTGCTATTCCTCTTCATGTATAATATGCCACACGACAGTACAGTTAAATCTGCTTCTACAAAAATCAAAAAGCACTGAGCTGTTGGTTTCCATGAGATTTGGACAGAAAGAAAACAACACAGCAGAAAAGAGTCCCAAAAGGTATAGCTTTTGCTTCTCTTTCCTTCTGACAAGGAAATGACTTCCTACTGTTAGCTAAGCAGCAGTTAGCCAGCATCCTGTGTGAAGCCAGGACCTGGGGCCAGTACCCAGAACACACCCAGAAAACCAAAATGCAGCTTCAGGTAATTGTTAACAGGAATAGGCAACTAGAGAAAACAGCCACAAGTTACTCAAATACAAGACATGCCGCCTGCATTTGTCTGTCCTGCGTGTGCCTTGTATAGCTCTTTCCATAAGGATTCAGTCTTTTCTTTTCCTCCCCCCACCCCCATCATCAACAGGCATGCTGAATGTAAATCTCATCGGATTTTCATCCCACCCTAGCAAAATGCAGGGACTACCACCATACCGAGTTTTACAATAATTGCCACAATGCCAATTATTCACAGCCCCTCAGTTCTGTTCACACAAAAGATTGCAATTTGAATCATGCCTTGCACAGGTTCAGCTCAGTTGGAGCTGGTTACCAGGCAAACGGTCTGTTTTAAGATTTACCGATCACTGGGGAGAGTTAGTTGGGGGGTGGGGATGGATTAACCACCCTGTACATACCTCTTTTTGGCAGCTAAGAAAAACAATTTCGTGACAAAGAGACTTGTTCTTTTCAAAGCTCACCCAACAAATGAAACTGACAGAATGAAACCTGAGAAACTTTAGCAACCAAAGAAAGCAGCCTTCCGAGGATCAAGGTGAATAATTGATTTGTCGGGTTTGGTTTCATCTTTGAAGCTATTTTGCTCATTAAAAGGAAATTGTGGAATTTGTCAGAAGCCCAAACACTGACACATACACTTCTGACAGCAAGTGCATATTCCAAACTACGGATATATTTGCCAAGCTTATTCAACAACAACGATTAGCTGCAAAGCCAGGGAACTTACCGAGCACAAAATTATTGGAACAAAGCAGGGAGGAGGCAGCAGGCACCAGAGGCAGCTTCTTCGTCTCCTTGGTGCCAGGTTCTCCCGTCCGCCGTCTAGTTCACACTTGCCTGTATAACTAAGACTCCGGCAGAACTCACTAGCGGAACCTGATGAATTATAAAACAGCCCCTCCTAGACTCTCATATTTTACATCACAGGGGGTGGCCATGCAGCATCCTCACTCACGGGCTACATAGACGTCCTTGTAACTCATCCTGAGAAATACATCAGTCGTAGAAGCAGTAACAGTAACTGGTGTTTGGGATGTACCAGTATTAACCAATAAGATGCTTTCCCACCATGAGTTCTGCAACCACATCCTCCACTTGTGTTCCCCATACCTTGTTAAGGTGGATCCACCCAACCCAGTGGGGAGTAGGCAAAGACGGCAAAATGTAGAGGAAAGTCCCTGCATCGATGCACAGAGAACAAGCTGTATTACTTGGGGTTAATTCTCATAATAATTCTGTAAGGGCCAGCCCCTACATTTGCATAGCATGTCATAGTGCATTAAACACTCTGATAAGAGTCTCTGAGGGACAAGGAAGGGGCTCAGGAGTGCTATAGTACAGAGCACCGGAGCTCAGAGAGGCTATGTGTCTTGTCCAGTGTTCACTGAACTAGGGGGATGCAAGCAGTCCTAGAGATTAGGGCAGCCTAGCCTGCTCAGTGAACCAATAAGGAGCCTGGGGCACGAAAGGTAAAGTGACTTCCCTGGATTATACAATTGCTAAGTGTGATTTCAGCTTGAACCAAAATCCATGTCCTCTGATGTCAAGCAGAGTTTTCCTATTCTTCCATGCTGCCTCCAGAGAACGGAAGCCCTGAAGATGGGAAGACGTGGAAATCAGATGCGACATCACTGACCAAAAATGATTAACAGGTAGGCTTCATGGAGGAGCTACACCTAAGCCTTTGTTTTCTCTCTGACAAAACTTAACCTCTTCTGGTCCATCAAATATCAATTTTTGATAATAATAGCTAGTATAATTGAGCACCTCTGATGTCCCAGGCATAGGCTCTAAGTGCTTAGCATGCATTGATTCATTTAACCAAGTTCAAAACCCACACTCTTAAACATCCCACCCTATCACGAGCAGTGTTTCATTAAACTGTTCAAGGCAGATGAACAATGAGCAGATTTATTCACCATGACCTTTAGTAAAAATGATAGAAAGACCACAAGTTTTGGAAATAAATAGAATTGTTTTTAAACTCAAGCTTCGAGAGTAAATTGCTATAAAATGGGTTATTTCATCTGTAGAATGGGCATACTAAGACCCTTCCTCAAAGACTAAATAGAGTATATCAGGCAGATATAGTGCCTAGCTTATAGTATGTTACCCAGATTGGTAGCTACTGTTCTTACTAAACTTCCTTGGAGAAACTGAGTATCGGGCCAATCTTCTCCCTCAAGTGTCTTGAGGTACCTTACCAAGGAGTCTTCTCTCCTAAGCTGTTATGAAAGGGGAACAAATCTAGAGAGGTCTACCATTCAAGGTGCAGAACATCATCAGGGACACACTGACTTTCTTCCAGAAAATGGGAGGCTCCAGGGGCTCTGCTCCAGGCCGCTCAACAGGCTAACTAGCATTTCTCCACTTCACTTTCACCTCCAGTCAAAATGAACCATCAGCCTAGGAAAGCATATTCACAGCATGCTTGCTATCCAACTGTGAGTCCAACTTGGCTTCTTTTGCCCTTTTGAGCAGATACACCAAACAGGAAGTCAGGCATTTTCTCTTGAAGGTTCTACTGCCAACTCCTCCCTAAGTCAGTATAACCTACTATTTGGCCACTTGTGATGTTCTAATCGGATGAGCTCATCCTCATAAGAAATGGCATCTTCAAGGTATGCAATCATCATTCATTGAGAGCCATCAGTGGTAACCCTCAGTGGGATAAGGTAGTGCTGTCATTTCATAAGATATGCAGGTTTATACATGAGAGATGTTTTTAGTTCCATGTTTCTAGACAATGACTCTGTGGTCAACCAAATTTGATCACATAGACTACCCTCTTCTTGTTTATTTTTTCTCTAAGTATTTTAATAGGAGTCAAATGTGCAAGGTTAAGGTACCTCCTTTCATGACAATACTTAATACAAGCACTGTAGAAGCAAACACAAGTGAGTGAGTATGTGTGTGTGCATGTGTGTGCGTGTGTCATGAACTTCTAAACTGATAAGAAAAACCAGGTGTAAACACTATGTGTAGCAAAGAGCAGATGACAACTATAGTTACTTCTAATAAATCTATATGTTGATTATCCACTTGGCACCTGAAGTAGCTTGATTATTCTAAGTCTTTCTATGACTTCCAGATTGCTTGACCTACTGTGACACCAAAAAAAATCTCTCAGTAGCCATTTCTTTCCTGTCTATTTCCCCTGCCACCTGGCTACTCCACCATTATGGTATATACCATGTGAAAATAATACAGATAAGTCTTTATAATTCTCATACAGTAACATTTATCCATTCCCTTGCTATGGAAGTCACACTTTATGCAGATTCAGTCATAATTACTACCTCATGCCACCAATTACTCTCAGACATAATGACTGATATAGAGCCTTGAAATTAAACCAATATTTGGCTTATACAGTATTAGTGATAGTGCTAATATTTATTGGGAACTTATTACAGATTGGTAGGATGCTAAACCTTAATCACAGTTCTTATCTAATTCTCACAACTCTTTGAAATAGGCTGTGGTATTATCTCTACCTTACAAATGAGAAATCTATGACTACAAAGGTTAGGTAACATGCTAACAAATAGCACATTTAAGACTGCAGAGTCTATTCTCCTATTACAATCCAGGCTTCTGAGAAATAAAGGCAGCAGATAATAGATGATTAGTGGGTTTTTACTTCCTCACATCCCATTCTCTCTTTAATTGGCTTCAATCAGGCTTCACCCTTACTGTCCACTGAAATATTACCAAGGTAAATGACAATGACATGCTCACTGACAATCAGGGGCCAGTGCATAGTCCTGTTTAGCAGCCCTTAGGCAGCCCTCAGCAGATTCCTTTACCACCTCCTAGAATCAATCACTCTCTTTATATTGCTTCAGAGACCCCTTGGTTTTCCTTCTACTCATTAATCCTTTCTTCTAAGTCTCCTTTGCTGGGTCCCTCCACATCTCAATCTCTCAAGAGAGAATGTCCCAAGGATTGTCATTACACTTCTCAGGGTACCCTCACTCCAGAGTCACACCATTCAGTGTCAAGGCTCAAATGCCATCTATGGAGCAGAGGCTACCACATGTAGATATTAAAGCCCAGTCTGTGCCCTGTGCTCCAGACTGTCATACCCAGCTACACTTGACATCTAGGCATCTGCACTTGGTTGGTTTTTGTTTAAAATGCCCAAAACCTAACTCTTGGGTTCCTCCCCTAAATCTACTCCACTCCTACCACATACCATTTTAATAAATGACATAATCATTTACCTAGTTGTGCTTGGCCAAAGCCTGGGAGTTATTCTTCTCTCTTACCTTATATCCCATGCCTATTCATCATCACATCTTCTCATCTCTGTCTCCAAAATATGTCCTGAATCTTTTTTTCCACCTCCACCTTTTTCTCCCTAATTTATACCACTACCACTTCCCACAGGGATTTTTTTAAAATCCCCTCTGGTTTCTTTCAACTTCTACCCTACAACAATTCCATGTCTACACAGCAGCCAAAGTCCCTGCTCAGCTCCCTATGGTGGCTTCCATTTCACTTAGGATTTGTTCCTTCCTACAGTCAGAATCCTGTCTGTCCAAGTACCTCCTTAGAGGAGAGTCCCTGATACCCAGTCTACAGCAGTATCTCAGTGGATCTATTTATCTCTACTCTCTTACTAGATTCGCTCCATGAAGCCAGAGGCCTGCTTTATTTGTGGTGGAAGCTCCAACTTTAGAACAGGGCCTACCACACAATACTTATTTAACATTGGTGAAATGAATGTGGTAAAAGTCCTAGCTTCACTATTTCTTAGTTGCATAAATCGCTTTTGTCCCTATATCATAAATTTGTCAATTTCAAACTTTCTTTAAAAACAACCAGCATATTGCTCTGGTGTATCACAGGTACTTTACAATCTATTTACCCTTTCCTGTGTTTGACTTTGATAGAACAATTCCACAAGATTGGTCAGTGTTGGTTGAATTATGTTCCCCCAGACATTGGTCCCTGATCTGCAGTAGTCCAGAACAGAATAAGAAAAGTAGGATGCAGTGGTTTTTTCATCAAGCTAAAACGACTTTTCATTATCATAGGATTATGTCCTTCCTACTGTTTATTTTTTCTTCTTATCATCTTGCTAAGTTGATAAGACTTACCATCTTAAGTTATTCTTTTGTTCTGATGGGAACAGAGAACAATTTTGTTTCTTGGGTTTTTAATGTCCTCCATTTTTTGGCAAGATTAAAAATTGGAAATTCTGTTGGACTATAAAGGTTTGTTATGCAATGGTTTTGGTCTATAGACATAAAAGTGTGTAAATAAAAGTTCTAATGCAATCCCCTTCATGAAACAAGCTCAAGAATGCTCTTCTCCTTTAGCCACCTTGGGTGGTAGGAAGGAGTCAGCTTTGCTTCCAAACAACTGAAAAGGCTTCTGCTTGTGTGCAAAATAACCTGTTAATGGTCACAATCTTCTATTAGCACTAAATTATATAGTATAACCCCACATAAAAAATTTGTTTAACAGAATTTAGCAATATTCATTAACCAGTCATTTCCCTGGTCTTGACCCATACCTAGTCTTGACCCACACACAGTGAAGAGTTCTTATTTTTCAATAAAATTCATGACTTGCCTTTGAGTTGGTCCATTTTCTTTGGGGTTCAGGACTGTGGGCTTGTGTAAATGTCTGGGGATTAAATGAAATCACTTTGGTTAAGTATCTTGAACTCCACAAAAATTCTTAGCAAATGCTAATTCTCTTCAAAGAAAGAGGTAAAGCTTTATGCCTCCAGAAGGGAAATGGCTTTAGGACTAAAGGAATTTAGAGGAAATGGGGATCTCTGCAAGACTGGTCAGCCTGGAGAGTGTCAATGAACTTTACCTTTTTGCTGAGCATTCAGTGATCCACAGACAATTTATAGAAATGGCAACAGTCTATTTTATATATTTATCTTCATGAATATGTGTGCATATACAGTGTACATACATATACATATGTACACAGAAGTTAATA